AGAAATAAAATAGTTCCAAACCCAAACAAAAGAAGGATACAGGGATAATCCTGTGCCCTCTTTAGACAAGAGCACAAATAGCTGTGGTACCCAGTGGCTGCTGAGCCCAGCTGGGAAAGATCAGGAGACAGAGGTGYTGAATGGTGGCATGGGGGTGCAGTCTTGGTCAGAGGCCTCAGTATGTTAATGTGGGTATCGTGTGAGGACAGATCCCTTGCCCAAATATCATTAAGGTCTTTAGGTAGGATTTTGCATCAGTCCACTTCACTTTTATAACTATATATTTTAAAATATGGCATATTTAAATATTCAAATTAATATAACATTTATTCATGTTATATTAATTCAAATTTATATATTATTTATATTATAATTAAGATATATTATTTATATTATTAAATAAATTGACATGATACTATAGTTCTATGACATGTTTTAAATATATTATTATAGTACACGATGGTATAATATATATTAGGCTTAAACCTCATCATCTTTTGAAGAATTTCATGATAAAAAAAATAGTTTGGAAAAACCACAAATAGGCCACATATTAGGGAGAAAAGCAAAAGCCAGACATTTATGGTCCTTTGTTACTTGCTGAAATGTTTGGGTATTTCATGAAAGAGGTTGAAATGGGAGTTAGTCAGACCCTGAAAATAGACCCCAGTGAAAGGAGACCATTGATGACATTCACAGAGGAGACCCAAGTCTGGAGTGGGTAATAAAACATGAAAACAAAGAATGGTGGTGAAGAGAAGGGACGCAGGAATTGCAGGTCCAAGTGGCAGAGTGCATGACCAGTTAGATGTGGGAAGAGAGAGAGGCCATGCATGAGACAGCCAGATTTTGGGTTTGGTAGGAGGCCCCTGATCTAAGGAAAGAATACAGTACATTTCCAGAGAAAATAAAATGAACTGGACTTGTCAATCATTGAGTTTCAGCTGCTTTATGGACATCCAAGGAAAAATGTCCCCTGGATAATTGATGTCCAGACCTACAGGCAAGATCTTTGATCTGAGAGAGGGAAGTGGGGTGGTGGGTGAAGCCATAAGTGTGTTTGAGTGGCAACGTGGTCGGAATAGAGTGAGGAATAGAGGAGAGCAGATGCCCAGGAACTGACAGAGGTGATGGATAATCAGATTGGAGGAAGATGTCCAGAAAAGATCATGGACATCCTAGACACTCAGGAGGAGAAATGTCAAGAAGAGAGTAAACAATGCCAAAAAGGGTCAAGTTCAGGAGAGAACAGAAAACGTATGGCGATAAGATTTACTAAAGTGAGGTATAACTTTGAAGTGGAGGCAAAGCTCTAAATTCATTTTCAAGAGTGATACAGCAAAAAAATGTTGTCCTAGAGAAAGTCATTTCATAACTTCAGTCCTGGATTTCGTTATTACAAGATGATTAGTTATTTCAAGAAAAGTAAAATTAAGCCAAAGACATGGCGATTTTCATGCCTAAGTGTTGGTGTGAGAGTGTTTTCTTTTTCTTCTTTTATGCCAAAATAAGCCATCCAGCCATGACTAACTTATTAACTGTTCGATATTAGCTTTTGTCACATTTGACACATTTGAAAATTTTTGAAGGTATTAAAATAGGAAAATGAAATCTAACTGATATGAGAAGAATTCCAGTTGCTAGAAATCTGTGGCCAAGGTTATCTGTCTCCCTTCTGCTAGTTTCTCTCAGGTGAAATAATTAGGGTGTGATGGCTTGGCAGCTCAGCTACCATGCACAAAACCACAGGTGCTGGAACCAAAGTCCCCATCTCTACGTCAATGACTGGGTCTCCCCTGCAGCTCTGCTTTGCAAACTGTAAATTGATCATGAGAGGGCTCTGAAATGCAAAATATCAAAAAGCACTCCACGTAGTGAGTCAAGTCTTATTTTGCCAAACTAAATGTCAGTTGAGGGGGAGGTGGGAAGGGATGGATGGATCATGGTGTAAAATGATTTGTAAAATGATTTTTTTTTAATTTTTACTGTGGATTCTGGTTAAAAGATGTTTGAGAAACACTGGTCTCCACCAGATCCCCTTCCTGTTTTAAAATTCTCTTTCCAGTTAACTGCCAGTTGCACGTTCGATATAGTAAATGTTTCAAATGTTCTGTGGAGCGGCAGGTATTAAAAACTGTTAAGGAATGACTGCTAATAACAAAAGAGAATAACATTAAAAGGTAAATAAGGCCGACATCTGTGTTGTATTTTACCACAGACTGAACAAGCCTTTAAAATTTATTACTATTCCAACCAGCAAGTCATTACTGTAATTTATGAAGAAAAGTTAAAGTAAGCTATATATTAACAAACAATAGAGTAATTCTTTTGATGGCCATATAAATAAGCAACCATATCAAGGAGAAATAATACTTTTTCAAAAGTAACCATCCTATGGCACATAAATTCCATAATTGGCAATTAAATAAATGTGGTGAGTCTCCACCCTTGCCACATAAAAAGATTCATTGGCATGGTTATGAGACAAGTCAGTGTATTTTTATTGGCCTGAACTAGAGGGCGTATACACCTTAGTCAGGTGTTTTGTTTTAGAAACAGCTGTTTGAACTTCCTCTACTGGTTAATTCTGCTCCAGGGCACATTGGAACATTAGTTCTTTCCAAGCACACTCGGTGATAGCATCCTTGTGAATGAACAATTTCTGATAAAACCTATAATAAATGAGTTAGTTTTTCTTGTTAACTGATTTTCATTCTTCAACAACTTAGGAGGTTTCATAGATCTTAGGTGGTATTAAACAAGGACCATTTAAGAGACCTGAGGAGCATGAATCACCACAAAGGAAATTCGAGGGAATTGTTTTCATTTGTACCTCCCCTGGCCATTTTTTTGGACACTTGATTTGTCTCTGCATCTCTATTTCCTCCCTGTCCTTTCATAATTCCTGGGGTGTTTGCTTTGCCTCTRTGCCAGTCTAACCTCTAGCTTTTGGCAATCTGTGTCCTCTGCCTCCTTACCACTGTCAATCAACTGCCAGAGAAAGTGCTCAGAAGAGGAATTGCAGCTAGGGATGCCATCCTACCACATTTTCACGAATGCTCTTTCCTTCCTCTGGAACTACTGGTAGACAGCTACACGACAATGCTGTCAGGGGCTGTGTTAGGAGTAGGTAGTACTAACAGGGTTGGCGGTGCTTGTGAGGAATGGGTAGCGCTAACTGGGTGGGTGGTGCTAACAGGAGAGGTGGTGCTGGCAGAGTTGTGGGTGGTGATGGGGTGTGGATGGTGCTAACAGGATAGGTGGTACTAGCAGGGTATGGGCAGGATAAGTGGTGCTGGTGGGGTATGGTCAGGACTGGTGGTGTGGGGGGGGGTGCTAGAGGGTTGGGTGGATCTGGCAGAGTGTGGTGATGCTGGCTTTACCTTCCTGGTTGCAGCAGAGTGGCCTGTGGTAGTTGCTAGGGAAGTAACTTCCATCCCTCCAATCCAGACTCCTGCTCTCTCCTGGTTAATCAGACATTTAAGTGTACCAAATTGAGAGATACGATTTTTAAATTTATTATTCTATGGTAGAGCAAAGTTAGTGCCTGGCCTCTCAATCTAGGATTCTTCTATCACTTCTTGCCRCCTCCCAAAGGGCAGGAGAAGATAGACATGATAGACTTTAGATATTTGGAGAGTAGAATGCATGTAAGACACACGCAAGTCTTGAGATTTGGGATGAAGATAGTGTGTTTGTAAGACAATACTGAATATGTAAAACTTATGTTGGACAGGRTTGGATAATTAGGATCTTACTTTCCTGGAGTTTTATGTTCTCAACTCTAATATAATGCTCAAAGGTACAGAATACACTTCCTCTGGATGRGTAGTGTAACCTAGGCATAATTTCTCTAATTACAATTTCCCAAGTTAAATGATGATACAGGTAGATAATGTACTTACTCCAAATGTTTGTTTTGATAATAAAGTAGTATATCAGAAATGATTTTTTTTGGAAAAATTTTAAATGCCATGCACATAAAAGTTGATATTATTTTTAGATTCCCAATAAAAKCTTCACTTGTTTTATATCCCTTGTGTACTTTTTCTTTGGAAATTTTTTCTTCTTTACTTAGTCTGCAAGATTTCAGCTTATGAATCATGTTGCTTCCTGGGTTTGATACATTACAAATATAGTAACACCACAAAGAATACAAATAGGGGCTGGGGTTGTGSCTCAGCAGTACAGCGCTTGCCTAGCATGTGTGAGGCGCTGGGTTCGATCCTCAGCACCACATATAAATATATAAATAAAATAAAGGTATTGTGTCCAACTACAACTAAAAAGAATTTTAAAAAATACAAATAGCTGCATAGCCCCTGAGTTCATTTCAGTAGCAGGAGATATTAAGATATGTGTTTATGGGAAAGATTGACTAACTCACCAGTAGGATCTAAGGCTTGAAGTACTAGAAGCCACTGGACATTTCTGAATACTAGTGCTCCCCTCTCAGTGAATAGTACCAGCAGTTTGTTAAGATCAGTCTCCTGAGCTGGACATGRTGCCAGATGATCAGCTTGGCCACCGCTTCCTAACTAGAGTATACTTGAAGTTGACATGCAGTCCAAATAAATAGAGATGATAGAGAGTTATCATCTAGAGAAGTTATATTTACCACCTTTGTGAAATTAATCAGAGTTGTAATATAAAAAATGACTTCTTGATTCACCAAATGTCTTGCTCCTGAAACAGATACATAAAGCTGAATTTCCTCTGTATGTCTAAGTAACCCTAGATCTTATAATATTTTGTATTATAGGCAACAAGTTATTTCTTCATTATGCAAAGTAACAACAATGTTTGGGGCACTTTGTATGCAGTAAGTCCCTGAAGTTTGTACACAGTCAATAATACACATTAAAAGCAGCTGGAGCCCAGGACTCCTTGTGTGTCTCTTGCTTTCTACCTCTTCTGATAGATTTCCTTTTGACATGACGCTGTATTTTATGTAATCCGAGGAGTGTATATGTTTTTGACCTTTACAATTCTTCTTTTAGGATCCACCCACTTCAGTTTCCCTGGGACTACGAATGGAGGAAATGATTTTCAACTTGGCWGACACACACCTGTTTTTCAATGACTTAGAAGTAAGTTCCAGTTGTTTTGCACATACTCTATGTTGCAYGTCTGAAAATAGCTGGGCGATTTTGAAAGTAACGATGGAATATTRTATCTTAAAATAGTTGGAAAAATGAGAGGGATTTTTTACTATACAGCAATGTTTGGCCTTCATGGTGTTTCTGTTTTGCTTTATTTTTGCTGTTGTGATTCAAAGTTAGATCCCATACGACCCATGGGTAAGGATTAAAATTTGATATCAAGAATCCTAAATATTGCATTTTGTTGATTATCAGAAGCTTCATATTTCTCAATTCTATAATCAGTGTTGAGATGTATTTCCTTTAGAACTCAACAGAACTCATGATCCTTGCATATCTAGTCTGCGTCAGGATCTGACTGTATTATATCAGATGCTTTTCTGGCTAGTACAGTTGTCTGAAGAATATTTAAGTCAGGCCTCTGCTGTTTGGATTGCTAGGATTTCTTCTCTCTAACTGCTGATGGTTTTATTGGTCAAATGCAATTTTGGAGAAACTTTTGTAATGCTCCATGTGTTATGGGGACTGACAAACACAAGGATCTTGGTAAGCCACATTCTTAAGAATAAAGAATATTGTTTTTTCACATCTCCATTATGAGAAAACATGACTAGAACTACATTTCACTCCCTCCTTAATAGAGASAGTTGTTTATTTAAATCTTGCTGTTAAGCAAGCTTGTGGTAGGGCTGCCAACAGGCATTAATCATCAAGTTGTTGTTTTGCTAGATTTTATAAATGTATGTTATTTCAGACAGGAGAAGAATCTGAAAGATTCAAATAGAACTTTAACTGATCAAAGTTAATTGGCAGCAATTGGCCTTTAAATATTTCCTGATGTTTCCCTTTTCAAAATCAAGCAAAATGCACCTTATTTAATAGATGATCCAAAATCTTTTGAAAAATGCCAGTGTGTGACAGAACTTAAATGCGGTTTGTTCAACATCTGTCCTGTATTTTGATTTCTTTTCATCTGCAATGAATCTACTCACAGACGAATTGGCAACTTCCAGTGCAATAAAATTATTTAAATGTGCTTTACTTTTTTCCATTTCTAAGTGAAATATTGATTTTACACTTAGAAATAAAATGCAAATTTTTTTGCATTTAAAAGTGTCCACTTTTCTCCAGAAAATTACATATAAGGCATTGCTATTTTTAAGGTAGAAATATCCTAAGTGAGTGACGAGTTCAGAATTGCCTTCATAAAAGCTTAATAATCATACTTWTTTTCAAAAGCTGTTTCTGATTTATGGTTGTATTTCACTTCATGAAAAAGCAGCACAAAAAAAATCAGTATTTCACTAAATGTTAACATTTCGTCCCTAAGTTTCCATTTGTTACTAAAGATATAGAGTAGGCTAATATTTTGCCCTGGGTACAACCCTGTTACTCTTATTGATGTTAATAGGTGTTAATAACACCCATCAAGAAGATATTAACAGTAATTTGCTCTTGTTTTGAAACTTCACCTTCTTAAAAATGCCACAGCTTATCTATACAGTGCCAAAGCTGTGTGGTGAAAAAATGAGAAGCTAGTCAAAGTAATAACTTACTATAATATAGACCAAAACTCTTCTAAATGCAGTTTTGATTTAATACAGATTTTTATTTGTTCAGTGGGCATTATTCACACTGAAGTGTATGTTGAGACTAAAATTGTCCTTAAACAAATATATATGAAGTAGATGTTTAAAGTTCTAGTTTACAGATGTGGAAGTTTTTTTTTTTTTTCCTGTAAACCCATATTAAGAAAAAGAAAAACTAGTGGTCTGTGTATGAAGACTATTTATTATTAAAGGTAAAGTAGAAAGAGGAACAAAGATACATCAACCAAATACATAAAACAATAGTAGGAGAAAGTTTTTAAGCTTCCAGCCTTATAAAAGTTGATTTTAAGTTATTTTACATAGGAGTACTATGAAAGTATCAACAAAAGTATCAGTAAAAGATTCACATGGATTCTGTCTTTGGTCTAGATTTRCATTAAAGTTTTAAAATAAAATTGTACTTAAATTAAACCTAAAAATTATATTTCTTTTCAATTTTTTATTTATATTTTTGTAGTTCAACAAACCTGGGACTGGTCATTGCAAATATAAGTTTCTTTCGAAATAAAAATGTAAAAATATTTCTGGCAAAAATAAGTTTATTGGCATAATGTTCTTAAGAAAACCAGAAATGTCTCATCAGGCAGAAATGATGGGGTAATGCCTGCTTTCACACACCCATCAGCAGTGTGTGGTGGCAAGGGACATGAATATTTTAATATATTTAAATTGCATATATTTGGTTTTATAAGGTCTATGGCACAAGAATTTGAAGGCGTTTAACAATTTCATGGTTAGCTTCSAGTATGATTTCTGAACTCTGATTGTTGACATTTGGCCTTTTTTTCTTCTAAATTCTTAGCTTTTTGCCAGCTACCCCTCTGTGTAACTTGGTTCACTCTTGCTTAATATGATTCTCAATAATGAAATACATTATGTGAGGACTCCCAGTAATATTTGTTGTGTTATCAAAGTGTGTATTTAAAATGGTTATTGGGATATGATTTAGAAAATTGAGGTTATAATTTTTAAAGAAATTTGGAAGCCAGACATCATTCTGTGTGCCTGTAATCTCAGCAGCTCAGGAGGCAAAGGCAGGCAGATTGCAAGTTCAAAGCCAGCATTAGCAACTTAGCAAGGCCCTAAGCAACTTAGTGAGACCCTGTCTCAAATTTTAAAATTTTAAATATGGGCTGGCGATGTGGCTCAGTGCTTAAGTGCCCCAGGGTTCAATCCCTGATACTAAGTGGGGGGGGGGGGCAGGGGGGGAGAGAGAGAGAGAGAGAGAGAGAGAGAGAGAGAGAGAGAGAGATATTGATTGATTTAGAAATATCTTAACACAAAAGTTAGCTCATTTTAGTTTTAAAAATCCTGCTTCACATCTCACTGACTTTTTAAATTAAAAAAAATCATAATCTGCATTAATTTTGTTGATACTTCAGGAAAAGAAAGAAAAAGGAGAAAGTTTATTTTTCTATATAATTAAAAGTCTTTGACATGCTAAGGAACATGAGTGACAGGGAGACATAATTATTGTAGGATAAAATAAAATATTTTCTTTCACCATAGATGGGTTTAGACGTTATTTCCACAGTGTGCTTCAGGCTTTCCTATTTCTAAGTCTGACTAGCATCCTACATGTCGTTTTGCAAAAAAGTTCTCCCAAGTGCAATACAATGATGCTTATATGGAAGTCATTTTTTATGATTTTGTCAGTATGGAATTGGAGATTTTTGTTTGTTTTTTGTTTTGTTTATGGGGTTTGGGGGTTTTTTGTTTGTTTTCTTTTTATTAGTGTCTTTAGTTAATGTTGACTCTTTCTGACTAGAGAAAGAGCTCTTTCTGTTGGATTTTTATTGAAAAGCATCTGCAAACAGTGAAGAAAGTCTTTCAGCCACAATAATGTCTCAGTTTACGGGGCTGCTCAGAGTTAAGAGCTGGACTTTTCCAGAGTTAAGAGATGGCTGTACATCTGAATAGACTAAGCTCCTCTTGAGTTTTCTTGCAGTCTAGCGTTATGGTTGCCGTGCAGTTTGGTGTCGTTGGGGTGGTGAACTTAAAGAGTGGGTAGGAACCAGACCTCTCGTCCCAGGTCACACATTACTCCCGAGGGATCAGTGTTGGGAAGGAGTCTGAACCCTGGGAACACACGCGTGTGAGGCTGTCCCATACACGACGCCCAGTGAAGAGTGAGGTCWTGTTGGAACTCCCCTCTCTGCTCTCCTGGTGCATTGTTTAGCTGGGACAAACCAGAGAATTCTTTGGTGTCATTCCCACCCTTTCTGGGACCTGTCCTCTGTAGACTCCTTATCCCAGCTCTGATTTTTAAGCTTTTGTACTTGGAGCCTCTTGTTTTCACATTTTCCATTAAAAAAAAAAAAATGGCATGGGGCAGAAGGTTCTGGTCTCAGTTGGATGAATCAAGACCAAGGAGAGGAGATTGTGGATAGTGTATAGGTAAAACCATCATTTCCAAATAGTAAGGTCCAATGATTTTCCTTRTAAAGCAAAGAAGTGCACCTTAATCTTTAAAATTGCAATACTTTATTCCTCTAAAACTGAGATTATTGTTGATTAATTTTTTAAAATATGTCTTACTTAGAGATTTATATTTAGCTAGGAAAAATATCTTCAAAAATATCAGTTATGCCAATGTTAAGTGATTTCAAGTATAGCACACTGTACTGCCTCATAAGTCTTGTGCTCCCCAAAGCATAAAATATTTAAACTAATTCAGAAGTTGATTTTTTAATTGAATAAATATAATTCACCTAGAAAATGCCTTATCTCCTATAAACAAAGAGGAAACTCTTTTGTTTTATGGGTGCTGGTAAGGAAGATGCTATAGGAAAGGCTCAACCTGACCTCAGCTTTCAGACCCTTCCGTGAGCCAAAGATAACTCTATGAAAGTGTGTGGGCATATCAATAATTACAGCCTAAACATAAATGTTCCTCTACGCACACAACCGTGCACATACACCCCCCAACCCACTTCTCATTTTCAGCTCTGTTACATAAGCTGTAGCATGTTTGTTTATTTTCTCCTATGAATTCAGCAACTAGAAGGGATTACATTTTTTAAATCCTGGCAACATACTTTTTAATATTCTTATACATGTTGACTATTAAAGAAGTTTTTTTTTTTAAATTGAGCTCTTATATTGTCTTAGAATAGAATACCAATTTGTGTTTCCTTCCACATAGAAGACATAGAGTTGAATTTGCCTTCCTGTGTCTCCAGCTATTGTATGCTCAGCCCAGGGAGAAAAAGAAGCTTTTCAAGCAACAAATGATTCGTAGACATAATAAATTGTATTGAATTTAACTGCATTGCAATTGATGGCCAAGAAAGAAGCATAGCCTGTATTTTATTTATTATCATTACTAATAGATAATTTTAATTTTCTTCCTATTTCTTCATCATTTCTCATAAGATC